CATCTTGATTTCAGAAATAAAAATCATCTCCTGCTTCAAGACCAGCGTTTACTGCCCATCCCCAACTGCCTTTATAAAGTTCAGCGGAAAAGTCATCCACTTCAGAGGGACACTGAGAGCAAACCACTAGTCCTGAGATCAGACCCAAGAAGAGCTGTTTTCCAGCCCACTAAGGTCATTCGTGGAGAAACTCAGCAGGCCTGGCAGCATCTGAGAAGAGGGGAAACAGAGTTAATGTTTGGCTGAACTTGAAAGATTAACTCTGTTTTCTCTCCTCAGATGCTGTCAGACCTGCAGAGTTTCTCCAGCAATTCTGGTTTTAGTTTGTTTCAGATCGCCAGCACAGGCAGTTCTTTGATTTGTGCTTTTTTTAAAAAAGGATGTTCATTGTCATTTTAAACAACTGGGCCATCTAATAGTTCCATAGTCACTTTCACTAATACCAGCTTTTTTAAAATTTATTTTCCTTTTAAATGGAATACAAATTCGCAAGTAGCTGTTGCAAGACTTAAATTCACATTTTTTGAGTAACTATAGCCACAGACTCTCTCTACTGAGGAAGGCAAAAATGCGAGACAATGGGTTAAAATGTCCACAAGTATTTTTTGCACAGCATTGAAGGTACAGTCCGACTAAGCCAGTGACTCTCACGATATCTGTTATTAGTTTATGTGGTTTCATTATCCTAAGTGTCTAATGCTAAAACATCAAGGGACTCTGACCAGCACGGTTACGGATCACAAAGCACTAATCCATCAAGAAATCCAACACATTATGCCAATACTAAAATAATTATTTGAGTTGATTTGTTAAAAAAGGGAGTTGGGGAGATTTAGGGGAGGGAGGGGAGGCAATAGCTTAGTGGTATTATCGCTGGACTGTTAATCCAGAGACCCAGATAATGTTCTGGGGACCTGGGTTTGAATCCTGCCATGGCAGATGGTGGAATTCGAATTCAATAAACATCCGGAATTAAGAGTCTAATGATGACCATGAATCCATTGTCGATTGTTGGAAAAATTCATTTGATTCACTAATGTCCTTTAGGGAAGGAAACTGCCATCCTTACCTGGTCTGGCCTAAATGTGATTCCAGACCCACTGCAATGTGGTTGTCTCTTAACTACCCTCTGGGCAATTCGGGATGGACAATAAATGCTGCCTAGCCAGTGACACCCTTATCCCATTAATGAATAAAGAAAAAGAAACAACAAAGGCTACTGATTCACTCCAATTGCAAAGTAGGTTTGTTCACCAGAGCTCTGATGAAGAGTCATCTAGACTCGAAACATTAGCTTGCTGTCTCTACAATGAATACTGCCTGACCCACTGTGATCTCCAGCATCTTTTGTTTTCAGTACAGATTCCAGCATCTACTGTAATTTGCTCCTATGATGGAATTGAGGCCCTGATTCCATGCTATAAACGCTATGCCATTTCCATTTCCCAGACCTGCCAAACCTATGTCTTAAAACCTGAAAAATATTACAAGGACAACAATTCGAGAACAAAACACAACTTTGAGAAAGCTGCCCTTTCTGGCTAAATTAACATATTCCAGGAATACAGAGAAACACCAGACATTCCAATTCCAACATGCAGCATTAAATTTCACACTTTAAAAAATACATTTTTACAAACTGAATTTTTTTTTTTTTAGTCATTCACAGGATGATGGCGTCAGTGGCCAGGCCAGCATTTATTGCCCATCCCTAATTGCCCAGAGGGCAATCAAGAGTCAGCCACATTGCTGTGGGTCTAAAGTCACATGTACGCCAGACCAGACCAGACCAGGTAAGGATGGTAGTTTCCTTCCCTAAAAGGAAGTAAAAAGGATTAAAGGACATTAGTGAGCCAGATGGATTTTTCCAACAATTGATAGTGGATTCATGGTTATCATTAAACTGTTAACTCCAGATATTTATGAAATTCAAATTCCACCATCTGCTGTGGCAAGACTCAAACTGGGATCCCCAGAACATTACCTGGATCTCTGAATTAGCAATCCAGCAACAATACCACTAGACCATTGCCTCCCCTAGGAATGGGTTATAAATAGGGCTAGCACAGCCATTGACATCCACATCCTGTGACTGAATGCTTTTAAAAAAATTCACTGTCTGTGTTGGGATTCAAACCCACCTCCCTACAGCACTGCAACTCTCACTGATGCAAATACATAGAACATAGAACATAGAACATTACAGCGCAGTACAGGCCCTTCGGCCCTCGATGTTGCGCCGATCTGTGAAACCAATCTGAAGCCCATCTAACCTAAACTATTCCATTATCATCCATATGTTTATCCAATGACCATTTAAATGCCCTTAAAGTGGACGAGTCTACTATTTTTGCAGGCAGGGCATTCCACGCCCTTACTACTCTCTGAGTAAAGAACCTACCTCTGACATCTGTCCTATATCTATCACCCCTCAATTTAAAGCTATGTCCCCTCGTGCTAGCCATCACCGTCCGAGGAAAAAGGCTCCCACTGTCCACCCTATCTAATCCTCTGATCATCTTGTATGTCTCAATCAAGTCACCTCTTAACCTTCTTCTCTCTAACGAAAACAGCCTCAAAACCCTCAGCCTTTCCTCATAAGACCTTCCCTCCATACCAGGCAACATCCTGGTAAATCTCCTCTGCACCCTTTCCAATGCTTCCACATCCTTCCTATAATGCGGTGACCAGAACTGTACGCAATACTCCAAATGCGGCCGCACCAGAGTTTTGTACAGCTGCAACATGACCTCATGGCTCCGAAACTCAATCCCTCTACCAATAAAACCTAACATACTGTACGCCTTCTTAACAACGCTATCAACCTGGGTGGCAACTTTCAGTGATCTATGCACATGGACACCGAGATCTTTCTGCTCATCCACACTACCAAGAATCTTACCATTAGCCCAGTACTCTGTATTCCTGTTACTCCTTCCAAAGTGAATCACCTCACACTTTTCCGCATTAAACTCCATTTGCCACCTCTCAGCCCAGCTCTGCAGCTTATCTATGTCACTCTGTAACCTACAACATCCTTCTGCACTATCCACAACTCCACCGACTTTGGTGTCATCCGCAAATTTACTAACCCATCCTTCTACGCCCTCATCCAGGTCATTTATAAAAATGACAAACAGCAGTGACCCCAAAACAGATCCTTGAGGTACACCACTAGTAACTGAACTCCAGGATGAACATTTCCCATCAACCACCACCCTCTGTCTTCTTACAGCTAGCCAATTTCTGATCCAAACCGCTAAATCACCCTCAATCCCATGCCTCCGTATTTTCTGCAATAGCCTACCATGGGGAACCTTATCAAACGCTTTACTGAAATCCAAATACACCACATCAACCGCTTTACCCTCATCCACCTGTTTGGTCACCTTCTCGAAGAACTCAATAAGGTTTGTGAGGCACGACCTACCCTTCACAAAGCCGTGTTGACTATCCCTAATCAAATTATTCCTTTCTAGATGATTATAAATCCTCTGGATTAACAGTCCAGCAATAATACCACTAGGCCCTCACTTCCCCATGAGGAGGTGTCCCATCTGAAGAGGCAGACCTTGAGGAAAATCCATTTCTTCCCCCAGAAATTATATATCATTAAGACAGAAAGCAGCAGAGCAGTGAAAACACATTTCCATTGCAACTTCTCTTCTGTCTCTTTGATTTGAAACAAAAGTTAGTGGTTGTGATGTTCTGTGTTAGAACAGCATTGGGCTTTATTTGTACCATCTCAGGAACTTATTAATGTGCCATGCCCTGGATCAGCACAGCAGGGAAAGTGGCAAGCCAGCAGGTAAATGTGTCACACTGCTCCACAATAAGGATCACAGAGTTCAGTGTGCCAGGCTGCTTTGTAAAGGGCTGCCACACAGAGAGAGAAACAGCAGACCCTGCGGTGCAAAGCCACACACTGAGCACAATCACGAGAGATGTCCGACAGAACAAAGAACTCACTGACAAGAGTGATGCAACAAACAGACCAGGGGGCGGGGGGTGCACAGTGGCCATGTTGTACAGGAAAACCGGTTGTGGAGAGAGAGAATGGGAAACAGCTTGATGAGAAAAACAAATTGGATGAGACAAACCCAACAGATGGCCACTAAGTTTGGGACAGTGACAGCAGAGAGTCCAGGATTTTCTCTTAAATTTAAATTGAACAATAATATCTATAGCACTTTCAGAAGAAAAGTTGTAATAGTGCCAGTGTAATGATTGCAATGAGGGCCAGGTGGATCTCATTGGTCCGGGTTAACAACCCCAATCATAGTCAATCAGGGATGAAAAGATATAATCAGGAGTCACTCTATATAGTCAGGAGTTACTCTAGGCACAAAAACAGGGATTGCTGGAAAAGCTCAGCAGGTCTGGTAGCATCTGCAGAGAGAAAATCAGAGGTCGTATGACCCTTCCAGGCCTGAAACATTAATCTGACGTATCTCCCTGGATGCTGCCAAACCTGCTGAGCTTTTCAGCAATTTCTGGTTTTGTTTCTGATTTACAACAGTTCTTTCAGTTTCTCTTTGTTCTAGAGACTGGCTCTGAGCTGGCTGGTCAGGGCCCATGCACTCTGCACATGTAAATAAAGGGTGACTTGGTGACAGGATACCAGCCCCTATGCAGTTATTTCAAACAGAAAGCAGCAAAAGGTGGGGTGGTATTTCCAATCCTCCCATGTAGCTTGGAATGTGCAAAGGAGGAGCAGCAAAAGGAGGAAGAAGAATTCTGCATCTCTTTAACTGCACTGTAAAAAGTGGTAGGGGGAAGGGTGCTGCTCAGAAAGTATTCTCTCTTGGAGCCAACACCAGTATGAAGAGCCTTGACTAACATTTAGACACTAAAAGATCAATGTGACAAAGATGGAAGTAATTCTGTTGGGTTGTATGACCTGAATTCAAATAGAGGAGACAGCAGATGACAAAACTCAGCTAGTCCTTCAGTTTTGCCTTTTCTGTAAAGTGTTGGAATTGAAACTGACTGATATTTACCTTCTGTATGGTGCTGCCCAGCTGGGCAGGGGACATGCTGATGAGCACACCAGCCTGCTGAAGGGCAGCAATCTTTTCCTTGGCTCCACCTTTACCTCCAGCAATGATGGCACCGGCGTGACCCATTCTCCGACCCGGTGGCGCAGTAAGACCAGCAATGAATGAGACCACCGGCTTGGCGTTGGGCCCCTGTAGAAAAAAAACAATAACAATATCAAACACTGACAAGAAGATGGTTTTCACTGGAGTAACAGTCCATCCGTACTGGCCAAATAGTTCAACTTGCATTGTGAGCTGAGATTTTAAATCCAGTTTCAAAGAAAAAAAAAGTTGGAAGTAAAAAGCTGCCATTATCAGTAAGCAAAAAAGTGACCACAAGATTGTAGCCTTGTCATTAAAAACTCAGCCAGTTCATTAACGTCGTTCAGGGAATGTAACTTGCTCTCTACCAGATCTAGCCCAACCGCAACTCAGGTATCGCACCAATGTAGTGGACTCTTAACAGCCATCGACATCAACTTAGCAAAGCACTCAAATTGTATCGAGAAGATACTGGAACTTCTCAGCAAATCTAGCAACACGTGTGAAGGGGAGAAAGGAGTTAATGCTTTGGGGAAGGTGACCTTTCATCACCGGTTCTGGTCAAAAATGACCAGTGACCTGAGAGGTTAACACTTCTCACTCCCTATGCTTCCGTACAAACAAACAGCCCATTATCAGAAGAGTCAATGCTTTTAACACAAAGAGCTGGTTAGAAAGGACAGGACTAGCCAAGTCACAATATGAGAGCAGGCATGTGAACTCTGATGGCCACACAGAGGCTTCAGCACTTTGAAAAGATGGAAAACAGGCACAGAAAACTGTTCCAAGATATGTACAGTGGCTTTTATCTTTTGAATGTTTTGTGGAGGTTGGGCCACAGGGAGACCAGAGTCTCTGGGTATGACGGGACGGACAAGAGCCAAAGAAGTATGAAGAAACGACAGAGGCAGGTACAGCTGGAAACAAACAATATTGACAGTAGAGCAGATGTTTGGGACGGAAGCACAGTTTCCAGTGGGGGCAGGGGCATCATGCAGTGCAACAAGAGGACAGGGGAGATTGATGGCAAGAAAGCCAGAAATATACAGATGTTGGCACGAGAGCTCCAAATCTGCTAAATACTTCAAGATGACTAATGACACTGACAAAGAACATAATTTAATATCTCCTTCCCAGAAGGATGAAGATTAGGTTATAAAATTATCACAGATACCATTTACAACAGGAACAAAGTACTCTTCCTTAAGCTGTTAAAATTTGCGGCACGTTTTTGCTTTTTCTCCTCTTTTCACAAAAGGACGAATGACCCCCAAGTAAAACAATAAAAGATCTTATAAAACATAAACAATTAAAGTATAACAGGAGATTCTTTCATAGAAGCTCTATTCCCTACAGAGTTTCAGAGTGGTTATCAGGTGTTACAATGAAAAAGCATACTAGGTGTAAAGGAAAAGGACATTTTTGTGCTGTTGGTACATTCCCATTAGTATACAATTGGGAGATTGCTCATTTATACTTTTCCGTCTTTACTGACGGACAGAGGCATTCACTCAGTCATAGGGCACGGAAACAAATCCTCCAGTCAACTCATCCATGCCAACCAGGTTTCTCAAACAATGCTAGTCCCATTTGCCTGCATTTAGCCCATACCCCTCTGAACCCTTCCTATTCATGTACCTGTCCAAGTGTCTATTAAATGTTGTAATTGTACCTGCAACTACCATTTCCTCTGGCAGCTCATTCCACATACTTAACACCCTCTGTGAAAGCAAGTTGCTCCTTAGGTCCCTTTTAAAACTTTCTCCCCTCACCTTAAACTTAAACCCTCTAGATTTGGACTCCCCTACCCTAGAGAAAAGCTTATCTATACTCCTCATGATTTTATAAACCTCTGTAAGGTCATCCATCAATCTCCTACGGTCCAGGGAAAACATCTCAGCCTATCCAGCCTCTCCTTATAACTCAAATCTTCCATTCCCAGTAACATCCTGGTAAATCTTTTCTGTACCCCTTCTAAGTTAATAATATCCTTCCTATATCCTTGGCACCCTCGGGTGAGGGTGCTTAATTGGACAGGGGCCAATTACATCCGAATTAGACAAGAACTGGGGAATGCGGATTGGGAGCAGTTATTTGAGGGCAAATCCACGTCTGGTATGTGGGAGGCTTTTAAACACCAGTTGATTAAAGTGCAGGACATGCATGTCCCTGCAAAACTGAAGGATAGGAATGGCAGGATCCAGGAACCATGGATGACAAAGGAAATTGTAAACTTAGTCAAAAAGGAAAAGGAAGCATACGATAGGTTTAGTTAGCTACAAGCTGACAAAACCCTTGATGAGTACAGAGAAATTAGAAAGGAACTTAAACGCAGAATTAGGAAAGCTAAAAGGGGCCATGAAATGTCTTTAGCAAACAGGGTCAAAGGGAATTCCAAGATTTTTTATGCGTATATTAGAAGAAAGAGGGTAACAAGGGAAAGAGTAGGCCCCCTCAAGGACACAGGAGGGAAGTTAGCCACAGGAAGCGGGAAAGATCCTTAATGAGTACTTTGTATCGGTATTCACCGAGGAGAAGGGCATGACTGATGTTGAGGGCAGGAATGAGTATGTGAATACTCTAGAGAATGTCAATATATTAAAGGAGGAAGATTTGGGCATCCTAAATGGCATTAAAGGTAGACAAGTCCCCAGGGCCAGATGGGATCTATCCCAGATTATTGCGAGAGGCAAGGGAAGAAACAGCTGGGCATTAGCAAATATCTTCACATTCTCCTTGACCACAGGCGAGGTTCCAGAGGACTGGAGATTAGCCAGTGTTGTTCCCTTTTTAAGAAAGGAAGCAGGGATAATCCAGGAAATTACAGGCTGGTGAGCCTGACATCTGTGGTGGGGAAGCTCCTAGAGAAGACACTGAGGGACAGGATATGTGCTAATTGGAAGAAAATGGACTAGTTAGCGACAGGCAGCATGGCTTTGTCCGGGGAATGTCATGTCTCACCAGCTTGATCGAACTTTTTTGAAGAGGTGACAAGGATAATTGATGAGGGAAGAGCTGTGGATGTAGTTTATATCAACTTTAGTAAGGCATTTGATAAAGCCCCACACGGCAGAATAGTACAAAAACTGAAGTGACATGGGATTCAGGGGGGCTGGCTAGATGGCTTTGTTATAGAAGACAGAGGGTAGCAGTGGAAAGATGTGTTTCAGAATGGAGATCAGTAACTAGTGGTGTTCCACAGGAATCAGTCTTAGGTCCTCTTGTTTGTAGTATATACAAATAATCTGGAGGAAAATGTGGATGATCTGATTAGTAAGTTTGCAGATGACATGAAGATTGGTGGTGCTGCTGTTGGGCCGACGATTGTGAAAAGGATACAACAGGAAAAAGATAGATTTGGTGACTTGGCACAAAAATGGCAGATGGAGTTTAATCCAGACAAATGCGAGGTGATGCATTTTGGAGGATCAAATTTAGGTGTGAATTATACTGTTAATGGCAGAACCCTTAGGAACATTAACGTACAGATGGATCTGGGCGTGCAGGTCCACAGTTCCCAAAAAAATGGCAACACAGGTGGCCAAAGTGATTAAAAAGGTATATGGCATGTGGTACATGAGTTGGCAAACAATGTTGCAGCTATATAAAACTCTTGTTAGGCCGCCTTTGGAGCACTGTGTGCAGTTTTGGTCGCCACATTACTAGAAGGATGTGGAAGCTCTGGAGAGAGTGCAGAGAATGTTCACCAGGATGTTGCCCAGTCTCAGGGCCATTGGCTAGGAGGAAAGCTTAAAAAGACTAGGATTGTTTTCACTGGAAAGATGGCAGCTGAGAGGAGACCTGATAGAGGTCTACAAAATTATGAGAGGCATAGATAGGGTGGATAGTCAGAGGCTTTTTCCCAGGGTTGAAGTTTCAAATACAAGAGGGCATAGGTTGAAGGTGAGAGAGGGGAAGTTTAAGGGAGATGTGTGAAGAATGTTTTTATGCAGAGAATGGTAGAAGCCTGGAATGCACTGCCAAAAGAGGTGGTGGAAGCAGGCACGTTGGCAGCATTTAAAAGGCATCTGGATGGTTACATGAATAGGAAGGAAATAGAAGGATATGGACCTAATAAGGGCAAAAGGTTTGTTTTTCACTTTGGTCACGGCATGATGATCAGCATAGGCTTGAAGGGCCTGTTCCTGTGCTGTACTTCTCTTTTGTCCTTTGTTCTTTTTTGACCAGACACCACTTTCAAGCAATCATGCACCTGAGCCTTTTGATCTCTCACTGGGCCACAAGATACTGGTCTCGGCCGAATAGGTAAAGTAACACTGCATATATGAAGAACCTAGCAGGATTTGATTTGATTTATTGTAGTCACGTGTACCTGATTACAGGCAAATCATAGTAAGCAAGGACATGCAGATTCTCGTGTGTTTAGACAGAACGAGGCATTCAGGTTACATTGCACAGGAGGTGCACGAAGCAAGATCAACATTATTTGGAGTTAGAGAGCCCATTTAGCAGTCTAATGACAGCAGGGAAGAAGCTGTTCTTGAACCTGTTGGTGCATGTGTTCAAGCTTCTGTATCTTCTACCTGATGGAAGAGGTTGAAGGACAGTGTTACTGCAGTGGGAGGGGTCTTTGATGATGTTAGCAGCCTTTCCATAGCAACAAGAAGTGTAAGTGGAGTTCATGGATGGGAGGTTGGCTTCCATGATGGTCTGAGCCGTACACACCACCTTCTGCAGTTTCGTATGGTCTTGGATACAGCAGTTGCTGTACTAGGCCATTATGCATCCTGATAGTATGCTTTCTATGGTGCATCTGTAAAAGTTGGTGAGACATGCCAAATTTCCTGAGTTGCGTGAGGAAAAAGAGGCGTTGTTGTGCCTTCTTGACCGTCACATCTACGTGGGAAATCCAGGACACGTTGTTGGTTATTGTCACTCCAAGGAACTTGATGCTGTCAGCCTCTGCTTCGTTGATGTAGATGGGGGCACGTTCTCCTCCTTTCTTTCTGAAGTCAATGATCAGTTCTTTTGTTTTGTCAACATTGAGAGAGTGGTTGTTATCACTGCACCACAACACCAAGCCCTTTATCTTCTTTCAGTATTCTGACTTGTTGTTTGATATCCGTCCTACTACGGTGGTATCGTCA